TTAATGATGTTAATTTAATTTTTAACAGAGATCCCGAGTAAACGGGGCATCTGTTTAATCTGTTAACCCGCTCACCTACCCTTGACAACATTAAAATTAACATTAACGTTAATGTTAATGTTAACATTAACGTTAACGTTAACGTTGATTTGACGTTAACGTTAATGTTAAAATTAACATTAACATTAACGTTAACGTTAATGTTAAAGTTGATTTAACGTTAATATTAACGTTAATGTTGATTACGTTAAAATTATTAACATTAACTTTAATATTAACGTTAACGTTTATAACAACGTGCACAACAATATCCACATCAATGTGAAAATCAATAAACACAACAACATATACATCACCGTAGAAATCAATAAACACAACAACATACATATCAACGTAGAAATCCGAATGATTATTTGGCTGATTATACGTATCAACGTGGAAATTTTGGGTGATTTTACTTATTTGTGCCGTAATACAACACAAAAAGGAAATTTTAATTTTGTAAATAAACAAAGTGCGTAAAAACACAAAATTAGAGTTAGAACATTAAGATTCAAAGCTATATCTATAGACTATCGCCCATTATATTTATAAAATTTCGTTACCTCATTTTTAATTAGTGTATTAAGGCTGATTTAAACACTAGATTTTGAGTATTTCTGCCTTTTTCTTCTTTCGCACATGTTCGGAATTCATGTCGGGTTGATCCGGAGTGATCAAATTTGAATTCACTTATTGGCTATTTTCTTTTTAGGCACAAATAAGTAAAGCTGGGGGCATCGTGCCCATGACAATGGCAAGGAGCAGTATCGATTTGGTATAATCAATATTTACAAGCGAATGTGGTATTTACAGCTGTTTTCATAATTTCTGGAACACCTATAAAAAAAATTAGCCGAATGATTTTCGTCTGATCCGGTTAATTTAATATTTCGGTATTGTAACCGTTGTTGGGAGAGCTAAATAGAATTATGTGGAATGAAGGCCAATTTAACTCCAACGGTGTACGGTGAGATAGTGATAAACTTAGAGAAACGAAGGGAGTGTTTATACTGTCAGAGGTCTATTAGACAATATTACACTATGGAACGAAGGATTTAATATTAAGGGAGGTGAGCGGGTTAACAGATTAAACAGATGCCCCGTTTACTCGGGATCTCTGTTAAAAATTAAATTAACATCATTAA